ATATAAAATAGATTCCAAAAACATATTTAAAATATTAAATAAGAAATAAATCAGAAGAAATTATTTAGAATAATAAATACTAAATCATTCTTTTATTTTTTAATTTCTATTACTTTTTTATATTTTTTATTTTAAATAAGTCGTATTTCTGGTCTTTTATATTTTTTATTTTAAATAAGTCGTATTATCTATTTTATATTTGTTATTTTAAATAGGTTATATCAGTTACTTTATCAATTTGTATCGATCGTATAAAATATGTATTTTAAATAATGTTTTTTTACGATACGATCGAAACAAGTCGATAAAGTAACTGATATAACCTATTTAAAATAACAAATATAAAATAGATAATACGACTTATTTAAAAAACATTATTAACAAATTAAAAAAACATATATAAACAAATTAAAAAAACATTATTTAAAATATGTATTTTAAATAATGTTTTTTTACAATACGATCGAAATAAGTCGATAAAATAACTGATATAACCTATTTAAAATAACAAATATAAAATAGATTCCAAAAACATATTTAAAATATTAAATATAAAATAGATCAGAAGAAGCTATTTAAAATAATAAATACTAAATAACTTTTTTACTTTTTGTTATTTAAAATACATATTTTAAATAATGTTATTTTAAATACGACTGACCCTTTCTACTGAATTTTCTAATGGTTATTTAATGACAGTATAATTGGTAATTAATTATGCGTGTAAGAATTTACTCGATACAGTAAAATGCATTAAAATGCATTTAAAGTAAAACGCATGTTCGGTATATACATTTGAGATTCTTAATTATATATACTAATATACTATAATACTATATTATATATAATATACGAAAAAAAATGTATGTTTTTTTACCCTCAGGTCAATAAGCGACCCAATACGAGTATCCACGTGCGAAGATTAAAAAATCGAGATCTTATAGCATTGTAATATTTTACATATCAAATCTGCAAAACTCTTATGTAAGAAGATTAAATATTATATAATATTATATATATATATATATATATATTTATCGATTTTCATTAATGGCGTTTTGATTAAAAAGAAATTGTTACATATTTTACATGATATATTTACATGATATCTCTAACATGTGTTGCTCTCGTGGCAAAACGTATAATGTGGCACCGAAGAGTTAATTCTGGAAATTACTTATTTTGATTAAAAAATATTAAATTGTTTTTTAGTGCTTTTAATAGATTTAAAATAAATAATTAATCACTGCCATTTAGTATTAAATTTCTGTAATGATTAACCCTCCGTCTTTCAATTTTGACAATAGAAATGTGTTTCGCGAAACTTTCAAAGAAACAGAGTGAATAAATTTAAGGAATCAGCATCGAGTATTCGATCGCTCCATTTCACAGGTGCGCCTTTTACTTACGTTTTAAGATAGTATTGCAAAATCCTGAATGATTTGCGATTAAACGATTGACAGATATTATCTGTTCATTAAACGGCCTGGATGATGATGGTAAATGGAAAGATGAATCGCATCGATTTTCCACGAATACTACGTACGTGAGCAATTGCGATAAGCGTATGAGAAATATTCCCAGAACGGATCGCGCGATGTTTTTTCATCATGAGTTAAAAGGCGAAACCATTTTGCCTGCAATAGCATTTTTATATTATTTAAAAAATTAACTATAGAAAAGAAAGTAAATAAAGAGTTTAAATATACTAAAAAGGATACATTACACGTTATTTATCAGTTTATTTTTTAATCGGTGCGCAATAAGTGTGTAAAATTCTTATAACATAACCTCAGTATAACTAAGTCACATTTAGTTAAATTTATTAACAATTTATAATTATTTTAGACCCAAGTTTTTCCGGCAAAAATATTTAGAAAAATTTTAACAATAGAAACTAGAACTTGTATATGTATATCTGTAAGTTGTCAATTTTCGAAGTTATATTGATCCCCGCAGATTTGATGTTAAATTGATCATGTCATTTTCACACGTCACGTTAACATTGAAATCACATAAATAAAGCTTAGAAGCAAAAACACCATTAAAACGTTCATTAAACGTACAACGGCTTTAAAATTTAGCTATTGTGACCGATGTCCAGCACATGTTAAGATCAATCAGCGTAATTATGAAATATCCTTGCTGGGATGTATTAATCAAACAACAAGATATTTATTAACAATTATTTGAATTAGCAAAACCGATAACTGTTTACTTAATAAATATCTTGATATTATTAGAATGTGATTTATGAAGTATGAAAAATTTTATATTAAACATATACTGACATAATTCTACTCTCTTTCACAGAGATGATTTCTTTTTCAATGTCGATTAATTTCAAAAAAATAATGTGCACGACGTACGTTTTATTTTCTACCTTTTAAAATGTATATAGAAGATGTAGAAAACGTGACTTTATCTTTTTGATTAGCAATTCATTCTAGAAGTAAAAATAATCTCCGATATCGGAAAAAACTCGAGGTATTTCATGTTTAATTTATTGTTATTTTAATCATGGCTCTGCATTTTAGGTAGCGCGTCGGGGATCGGGCAGGGCGACGACAAGCCCGCGAAGCAAAAGCGGCATCGGACGCGTTTCACACCGGCCCAGCTCAACGAGCTGGAAAGGTGTTTCGGCAAAACCCACTATCCAGACATTTTTCTGAGGGAGGAAATAGCACTAAGGATCGGCCTCACGGAAAGTCGCGTTCAGGTAGGTGTGGTCAAAATGTACACACTGCCGCTGGCACGAAATGATTAATTTCAACGCGCGCCGGAGAACTTATCGCGTGACTTCGCGTTCATCGTTGAACGCTAGAATTACTACGTGCGAGCTTCTACGTTACGTTACGCTAAAACAGTTGCAATTTGACATCACGTTTGGACGCTTATTCAAATCGATCACTAAAGAGATGATATCATAGAAAATTTCTTTTTAAAATTTACCCTAAAAATTTTGATAATTGTGGGATAACTTAGTATTTCGACAAATTTTACTGTACACTACAATAAATTTTACTGTGCACTGCAATAAACTTGTTGTAGTATAAATAGTTAAAAAAAAATAGTGAAAATCATATAAAGTTGTTCAAAATACACGGAAAGGACGATTTTGTTAAAAGGTCTAAAAAATTTGCTAAATATAGATCTGAAAATAATTTTTTATTGAATCATCAAAATAATTTGTTGGAGTGTTAAAACTGATAAGTATTGCTATAAAACATTTTGATATTCTAGCAATTATTTTGACTTTTGCACACAATTATTTTGATTATTGAACAAAAATTATTTTCAGATCTGGATTCAGCAAAATGTTGCTTTCCGTGTACTGTTGTCCTACGATTAACATGATTTTCAGGGTAAATTTTAAAATAAAATTCTCTCAGTGTACAATTCGACTCATCAGAGAAGTTAATTATCTTCCCCCACCCCCTAAAAAAAGAAATCAAGTTTAATTTTTTATAACATATACGCTTTCTGCAACAGCCGATTCATTTGTATAAGTGTCTCAATTATTGTGGCGATTTATTATCGTTATAAATATTACCATATATACATATATAAATATGGGGCGGATCTCTGACATGGGGTGAAGTAATAATATGTCGGACAACAACGCGCAGAATCGCGCGTAATAAGAACAAACGTTTTTATAAATACAAAAAGAATAGTGTAAAATAACAATGTTTAAACATCTGGTGACACGGATGTACTTGAGTGATTAGGATGTTACGAGGTAGCATAAATTGCTACGGTACGGCGACCTCGCGGTTATCCTCTCAGAAACGTATATCCCAGACAGTACCGGAACTCCGGCGGAATCAATTGCGCCGGCCTACCGTGGCTTTTTGGATTAAAGTGAAACTTGGAGCAGCGGCTAAGCCCTCGCCCTGCGGGGTTCCCCAAATTTTGGTGGGTTCCACTTGGTTGTGAGGCGACCGCGAAACTTTGCGGAAGCTCCGGCAAGTCCTGGCCTCCGGCATCAGGAATTCCGGGGATCAAAGAACCAGAAATTTCAAGCGGGTTTCCCTCAAAAGGCCGCTGCCTTGCGTATCAATTTATTAAATTCTTTTTAACGTAAAGTATACAATATATACGTATAAATCATCCATCATTAATTAGAATAATATTTTAATTATAGTTCAAACTCGTTTAATATGCGATTGAGGAAAAAGTTTTATTTCACAAGTAAAATTTTTAGACGAATAATTTGAAAGAGAGAGAGAGAGAGAGAGAGGAAGCTAATTTATATTGTATTAATACAGAGAGATATGTAACGAATCAAAAATAGCGCACATTAATGGCGAAAATTAAAAATAGACGCGTCAACAATAAACGTCGGATCAAATTAAAAAAGACACGATAAATCGAAGCATCTTCCGTATTATAATTTAACGAGCATAATGTGTTTTTGACAGCAAGGATATACACTCGTGATTTCCGCGGTTTATCTAAATACGGAACTGACGGAAATCTCAGAATTCATGAAATGAAAAGGCTTGAATTCTCCTCCTGTCCTATTCATCTAACAATAAGAGTTTATCGACCTTCGTTTGATTGCTGGACGCATTATTAGCATGTAAAGATCCGAAAGGAAACTTAGCTTACGATATATTCGGCTTCGAAATAAAAAGTTTCACTGGTAAAACTTAACAATCTTCGTCTACTAAAAGTAATGAAGATCAATATGGAACTTATAAACTAAGACCTCGATTTATCATATAATATACATATACAAAAGGAATGATTTTTTGTGAAAAAGATCTAAAATTTGACTGGATACCTACCAATCTGAAGATCATTTTGTTGGATTATCAAAATAATTATGTCAAAAACTTAAGAATAATGATAAACAATGTTACAAAAAATTTTAATAGCCTAGCAAACAATTTGAGTTTTCAATTATCATTTTGATAGTCCAACAAAATTATTTTCAGATCTGTATCGAGCTAAATTTTAGATCCTTTTCGCAAAATCGTTCTTTCCGTGTACCTGCAATTAGGCGTCAATATTATTTCGCTTGAGATTAGAGAAACCGAAAGGAAATCACTTTGCATTGCGTCGAAACTGCTTTTAAAAGGATAACTTTCTTAAATATTAAGTTCCTTAATATTACATTCTTAATCTCTATACATCTTGATGTTAATTTTACACGTCAAATTAATTTGAAAGCGAGCCACGCGAAACAGCTAGAAAACTTGTCCTTTTGATCGGATTTGACCATTGCGGGAGGGAGTGATCTCGGCCTCTCCGCGGGCTATCAGCTGGCAGAACTTTTTTAAGTCTCCGGGGCACGTCTAGAAAAACGGAGTTAATAGAAATTCATGAAAATTTTATTCGCAACTCGGAGGCGTCAGTCAAGCCGGGCGTTGTGCCGCATACCAAGCAGCCACACGCGCAGCTCCGTCCCTCTCGCGTGCGCGTACATAAATTCGCACATGCGAGATCGTGCCGCGGATGTGACGCTATACGCTATCTCTCGTATTTGCTCGCCATGGCGAGGAAATCTGTCTGTCCGCACGGCGGAAAACGGTTATCCAGATATCGTCGATTAAGGGATTAACTTTACGGCTATACTTTATGTAATCGAGATAATCTCGGTCGCGTGATAAAAGGAAATCTTCTATACAATCGGTTGAGACCGCCCCGAGGTTCGCGGCGACTCGTGTGAATTTTAATTTGCGTCGCTTATCAATTATTTCCTCGCACGCTACCCTCATTCCGAAATCGTTTTTTCGATATCCCGCGCGGATACTTATTCCATCGTAGGTATGTATTTTTAAGAAGTCGATATTTTTTCCCCTGCTACCGCCGCAACGTCTGGACTCGTTCTGGACTCGTGATTTTTTATCGCGGCGGAACCTCGCGCGACACATTGACCCCGGGTGGGTGCACGCGGTGCTTCCGGTTGTTTAACGAAATTAGTGGTTTCAAAGTCACCCCCGGGGTGACTCGGTAACTTCTTTCGCCTGCCGGACCTCGCGCTGGTGACGCGTGTCCGTTTCGACGAAAGCGGGAAAACGTCAGGCGGGAGAAAATTAAAAAAAGAGGCCAAAAAAGAAAACAGAGGAAGAAAAAAGAAAGCCAAAGGTAGGAAGAGAGAAAGAAAAAGGGAAAACGGGAGAGAAAACGGACCGGGGATTCGTGGGTCTGTCGGGCGGCGGGCTGCCTAATTGAAAGAGGTTTTCTGCGGGCGAGGGTAGACATCAGCGTGAACGAAGCGTTTCCAAGGAAACCCCGGCGGCGGGCACTCGTGTGGAGAGGGCCTTCGGCACCAATGGGGCTGCGAGGGAAAGGCGCCGGCGCTCAGCATCGCTGTACTATCGAGCGTCGCTATCAAAGGTTTCTTGACTTGCCATGGCGGATGCCACATCGGCGATGTTTTAAGGACGGCGAGTAATCTCTTTTTATTTTTCCCTATACCTTCAATTACTTCCGCCGTGGCGACCGTGCTGCCCGCGCCGGTTACGTGCCGCCCCGATCGGTACGCGATATTGAACTTGAATGGAAAAAATCCCGATGATCTACCGTCCCGCGTCCGCGATGATATAGGTGTACCGTGGCCGCACCGTCATTTCGCGCTCTGGGATAAACCGAAAAAAGGAATGTTTAACTACGCGTTTTCCCGTAATTATCAATCCGATCACGTTTAGAAATGTCAAAAGTACACGGAAAGAACGATTTTGCCAGATTTACAATTAGATCTGAAAATAATTTTTGTTCAACAATCAAAATAATTGTTTTGGAATGTCAATTAAACTGATTGCTAGAATATCAAAATGTTTTATAGTAATACTTATCATTTTTAACTTTTCAACAAAATTATTTTGATGTTTGAACAAAAATTATTTTCCGATCTGTATTCAGCAAACCTTCCAACAAAATCGTTCTTTTCATGTATATCGACAAAACTACAAAAATGTTGCTTAGGAATAAAAAAATTTCGGACTGCTCTTCAGGATACGAATTAATTAATGCTGACCTCCGTAAAACATTTGCGATAATATGACTCGCGAGAAATTAAATTTTTTCAAGTGTGATCGCGATCGGGGAAAATCCTCGTCGACGACGAACGATTCCGCTCGTTTTTATTACAACCCACGCTACATTGTATGCAGCATAAATTATGATACTCCTCATCATTGATACAGTAAGCGTAATAGCTCTGTTATATAATCGTTGCATTAATGGGTAGAAAATTGCTCGCTATGAGTGCGTTGCACATAATAACGTGTGGCACAGCTCTTCGCTCTCTGTCCTTCCGATAACTGTGATAGGTGCACAAGAATTGTTCTGCTCGCTCATCGATATCTACGTACTGCTTAATCATCTTATACACGTTTGCTATTTTTATATTTTATTATAACAATTTTGTTGAATAATCTTTTGAGCCTATATCCATTTTTGCGTTTGAAAACATTAAAATATTAGATGATGTTTGCCTTATTATTAAGAACAGTTGAAACATATTTCATAATATTATTACGCAGAATGTGCGTTTATATTAATTTCCAAACAAAAAGAAAAATTTTGCCGTTACAATTTGTTGCCTTTTGCACGTTCACTTTTTTAAATTCTATTAACAATTTTATCAAATAGTCGAGCCAATACACATTTTTGCGTTCAAACATCGTAAAACATCAAAATATTAGATAACATTTGCAATATACATTTTTGCATTCTAAAACATCAAAATATTAGATGACGTTTACC